ACAGAGGTATGACGTGATCTGACACATTTTAAAAGCTAAAGCTCTCTCTGACCGTCAGATGGAGAATAGAAAAAAGTGGTGTAAGAATGGAAGACTGGAGACCAGGTTGGAAGCAATTGCAATAATCCAGGAAGGACATGAGGTTCCTGGGAGTTGGTAAGAAGTGGTCAAATTCTGGAAATATTCTGAAGGTAGAGCCAGTGGGCTTTGCTGGAGGGTTCAGTATAGTATGTGAAAGAAAGAAGAGGCAGAAATACGACAATGTTTTTGGCTTGAGCAATGTTATGGATGGAGTTATATTTACCAAGATGTGGATGACTGTAGAGGAGTGGGTTTGTGGGAAGGGGAGAAACCTTGTTTTGACTTTTTAAGATGAAGCTGCATTTCGGACATACAAATGGAGATGTCAAACAGGCAGTTGATAATGTGAATGTAGATTTCAGGGGAGAGATTCTAGCTGAAGATACAAATTTAGGAGCATATGGATGGTATTTAAAGTCATAAGACAATGAGATCTCCAAGGGAGTGAGTATAGATAGAAAAGCTTCAAGTTCTAAGTCCTGGAGCTCTCTAACATTGACAGAGCAGGGAGATGAAGAGAAATCAGGGAAGGAAGGGGCCATCAGAGAGTTATGATAGTACCCACTATCATGGCAAAAAGAGAAAGGAGACAGGCCCCATGGATGGATAGTTTAAGGCTCCCACTCCCTAGTTACTAGGATTTAGACAATCCAATGGAATGTGAGGATTGGAGTCCAGGGAGGTAGGTTTGAAACAGTTTTTGACCACATGTACAGAGACCTCAGTGTGCTACATGCTTCACCTAGTAGTTCACCCTCTTCCTAGCCAAGTTGCCTTTGTGGGGTTCCTGGTTCAGTGTGAGCCCTGGACAGATATCTTCCCACCCTCCTGCACGGAGCCAGCCCAACTTCATGCTTCCTGGTGTGACCAAATCCATGATCCAGGGGTCAGAGATTGTGGATGGAGGGCACTTTAGCCATTGGGGAAGGAGAGGGCCTGAGAAGTCCGTGATGGGGGTACAGAGGAGTGAATGATTGTGGGGAGAGAACCTAGACTCGATGTTCGGTAAATGTTTGCCGAATGGATGAATGTGCATATCCTGAACTGTGCCTGACTGCTGTGCCTGTCACTGGTGTGTGTGTATGTATGTAACCCACGCAGACATGGGGAGAATGTGCGAACTCTACACGGACAGTGGCCCCAGCCAGGACTGATACCCCCAACCCCTGCCACTATCAGCGTTATAAAGAAAAGACGTAGAAGAACATGACATTATTGAGGACCTGCTATATTTGGTTGTGTCCAATCTGTGTGCCTGATGTGTCTCTTTCCCCTTCTAGGCCTGCAGAGGGCGCCCCAGCCTAGGAAGGGAGGCTCTGGAGGTGGGTGGAGCTTTGGCCTAGCTGGGGTGGGGACGCTCTGGCTGAGGAGCGGAGGTGGCGGGGGAGCGGGGCGCTAGCAGGAGTCGGGTGTTCCCCGACAGATCCTGCTCCTCAGCCTGGGAAGGGCCTTGGGCCCAAAGTCCCTAGGCCTGGGACGACCCCTGCTCTCTCTGCTCCAGAACCCCGCCAGTTCTGAGGCTGAAGGTCCCAGGCCCAGATGGCGGAGTGGAGACTTGGGCTGTGGGTGAGACCGCACTCCCGGGGACCTGGGGCCAGCGTGGGCCCTGGAAGTCCCCGGACGGCTATTATCCCAGGCTTAGCACAGCGGCCCTGCTGCCCAATCCCCGCCACTCTGGCTCCTGAACCCGGCGGGCTGGGGCGCGTGTGCTGGCGAAGGATGATGTTTGTCCTCGGATATTTATCTCCCCAACCCCAGTATTTCCAACTTACCCTGAGTCTAAGGCGCCCAAGGGTGAAGACAGGAAATAATGTTTGCTTTAAAGGCTGAAGGAAGTTCGCATTACCTCCGGCACTTCCTTTGCAGCATAAATAACCTGCACCCGATTGATTCCTAAACCACTTAATTTCGGTGGCAACTCTAAGAAAAGGTTTCTTTATTCAACGGAGATTTATTGAGAGCCTGACTGTGCATCTGGAGCTATGGTCAGCGCTAGAGGATGAAGGGCTTTACCCCAGACACAAGCTCAGAACGAGTTTGTCTTGCTCATCAATGGACACAGGAAAATGTATACCTCTGGCCTAGCATGAGACACATTTTGAGGACAAATAAAAAAAAAATCCCAGAAAGATGAATAAAATGATAAAAGAAAATTAACCCAGAAGCCTGCTGCTTGCCGGGAAGACTGCAGCGACGATGCTGCCCCCTGGAGGCGGAGCGAGACAATCAGGCTCTCATAGCCTAGCGGAGTGTCACACCGTGCGCGGGGGCGGGGTGAATCGAAATTGGCTACGGCTGCTCCGGTGATCAGGAGTTCAGTTTTTCTCTTAATATGGGATTGAAACTTATTATTAGAGCAATCTATGGCTCTAAAGCAAAAGTCTTCAAGAACTTGGCAGCAGAGTTTCCCTCAGGTGTGTTGATTTGCCACCAAGAAACAAATGTCTTGAAGAAAACGAACATTTAGTCTTTAATCCTAATATGATGAAGTATTTGAAAAATATTGAGGCCATGATAATGGCGAGATAGAGGTATTTTTAAACGGAAGAACAAGAAGAACTTTTAATAAAAACAAAAAGCTGAGTGACAAAGGAAAAGTAAGCATAGTACACTACTTTGCTCTGCAATGAACGATTTATACGGTCATAATAATGTAAATTCTGATCGCGATCTAAATATAGTGATATGACTACATTTAGAGGATAGGGTGACAGGAGAGGAATGTCGGTAAGAGAGCTAAATCTCCACTTTCTATGATACGCAGTTTAACATAAGTAAATCAAGAAACAAATATGAACAAAATATTTAGATATGGTATTAACTCCTAGAAGAAGTAGCTTATGAATTAAAAGTTGTAGGAAATGGTTATTCAGAATAAGCCTTTTTGTACTTTAAAAAAATTTTAACCATAATATGTATTATTTGATTTTTTTTTAATTATGCATCTTACAGAAAGAAGAAAACAGGACAACATTGTCAAAGATGAAGGCAGACAAGGAGAGTGACTACGCATTCTCTGGTGGAATAAATAACATATTGCATGTCTACTCAGGGCAGGACTTGAGGCAATACCAGGCATGCAAGTGTGGCAGGATAGTTTAGTGAAATGTTTTATTTGTTCTGCTTATTTTTTTTTTCTCTTTAGAGCAAGCAAGGGTTTTAACAGGACTAAGAGCAGAGGCATCCTGATGTCAAAGGCCCTTCTACCTTTGTAAAAGTCTAAAGTGAACCTGGGAAGAGGTTATGCCCTGGAGGAGCTGGGGATGGGGAGAGTTTTGGAGAGAATTCTTTAAGACTGTTGAGGAGATTGGTGTGTAGGTCCAGCCAGCATGGGCAGTGGGTTCTAGCAGAACCCTTGGCTGTGATGAAGTAAGTGGCAAGACCTGAGTAGATGGCTCTGTGGGATGTCTGGGGAAATCAGGTCCAAACCCATAGACAATCATAGCTGAATTTCTGTCTCGAACGTGGCTCAGAGCTAACAGTTTGGGAGTCTAGGACCTGGAGAGTCATACCCACTGGAACCACAGGGGCCACAGCACTCACAGGTTTGATGTCCAATGATAGGATGGTGTAGAGGGCAAATAGGAAGCGTCCTTTGTGCGATGGTGTTTCTATGACTTTTGCATAGCCCTTGGCAGATGGGATCTCAAGAGTGTCTGATTTTGAATTTCTCACCAGCAACCCGGTGCAGGGGTTTGGAGTAGGATTCAAGTTCTTTGAAAGAACATTTTAAAATGCAGTAATTCTTGCACATCTGCATTTGCAGACTAAGCTCACATGGGCTGTAGAAGGATATGTAGGGAGGAACTCCTGTCTTCACCTGCCTTAGAAGGGGCAGATAGCAAATACTTAAAAAACTTTATGATAAGTGGTGAGTGCTGTGGCATGCTCAGGCTCCTGTGGAAGGAAAAGGTGGTGGGCAGCCACCTCTAGCTTCTTGCCCCTCTCCCAAGATCTGTTCCCTTCTTTCCCACATGGCCTGGCCCCATCTGACGGTCCTCCCTCTCTCTACCTAGGGGTGGAAGGGGAATAGGAGGATGTATTCTCTGGGAAGGAAGAGGTAGGAGAGATCCAGGCAGGTATTTTTTTTTTTTTTTTTGAGAAGAGCTTGATTTACATCTGAATTTTGGGGTTCCCGCCACTGGAGACTTAGCCCTTGCTATCAAGAGATTAAAGGGGCTAAAGTACCCTGGGCCCCAGCCAGGGTAGAAAGGAGAAAAAAAGGGAAGAGGAGGAGGCTTTCCCAGTCGGAAGGAAGTTGAGGGAGCCAAGAAGCTCCGATGGGAATACGGAGCACACAGTCCCATTAAAGAGGAGAGGCCCAGGGACCCTGCTTTATTGATTGGGACAGAAGGGAGTCCTCTTGGGTTTTGGGGTTTTTAAGAGGGGATGTGGGCTCTGAAGGGCTCCCAGAACTAGAACTCTTCTTAGGGTAGGTTTCAGTAGAATTGTGTTTGCCTGTGTAACAGATGGGCCCAGGCTCCAGCCTCCCTCCTGGGGAACCTCTCAAAGAGGTACTTGGAGGTTTGCATTCAGTAGGCCCCAGGGGAAGGGGAGACAGCTTCTGGTAGAGCTGGGATGAGTGGATGCTGGACATAATCAGGGAAGGGCTCTCTTCAGAGTCTCAGAGGCCTACAGAGCCATCGTGGGTATGTGCTCTGGATCCACCATCTCTCTATTGACAGGAATTTCTCAGAGACAAAGAGCAGCCCAGGGCCGCCTCCTACCCCCCACCTCCTCATCAGCTTCCCTTCTCTTGTCCTCAGGTCTGGGCACCTGGGAGGGAAGGAAACTCTTGGGGTAGGTGAGAACATAGAATTCACCAGTCTGAGCTCTTGGTTGGGACTTCAGAGTGTGTGACCTTCCTTGAAGTGACACTGGTTTCTTCATGGACACAAACACACAGAAAATTACTAGGGTAGGAAGCCAAAACAGCTTTTTATTCAGGTAAGTATAAATCATATTTACAAGGAAGAGGTGGGGTGCAGTGAGGGGCAGGGTCAGATCCAGGGTCCCGGGTGACCTCTCCTCAGAGGGGACAGTCCTGCTGCCTCCTCTCACACTCTCTCCTCTGCCTCTCTGGGCCTGGCCTGGTGTGGGCAGCTCAGCCATGCGTGTAGCGCTGGGAATGCAGAAGGGATGGTTGACGCGGAAGAAGGGGTGAGGCAAAGCCAGCATGGAGTGGCTGCTCCGGGGCCCTTGAGTCCTCCCTCTCTCCTAGCCCGCTTCTTCCCCCTTGGATTGGGGCTCCAAACCCTGGTGAGGCTGATGGGGGCCTCCTGGGCTCCAGAGTGGTCACTGGGCTATGGCTTTTTTGGGGTCCGTGGCTTTTCATTCCTGGGAGGGGAGAAGAGGGGCTTGAGGGACTGAGCGAGGCTCCCCTTCACCCCCCTACCCTGTCCCTTCAGCTTCCTCACCTCTTACAGCCTTTGGATCCCTTTCCCTTCTTGCCAGACTTGTCCTTCTTACAGCGCTGGGATGATTTCTGTATGTCCGGCGGCATGTCCAGATGCTGCATCAACTGCTGCACCCAGGCCTCTTTAGGGTCTGCACACAGCTCTGGCTGAGAGCGCTTCCGAGGTGAGAACCTAGGGGTCCGGCGTTAGCAAGCCTGTCCTAGTGTTGCCCACCGCGCCACCCCCCCAACTCAGCTGGACCCCACCCCTTACACCCACTCACAGGATAGCTGGGATGGGGCAGCCCAAGCTTGGCTCCTGCTTCCGGTAGCTGCGGACAACCGAGGTGGGAATCTTCCTTTCGCTGTACTTGAGGCAACAATCCTGTGCCCCTCCATCACTGCCTGCAGGGTGGAGTTCACAGGGAGCCAGGGGCTATTTATAGGCTCCCACCCAGGCCTCTCCAGCTCCTTGCCCCCAGCCTAGGAAGCTCCCTTCTTGATACCTTGGGTCCGGGGGATGCAGAGGGCCATGACCAGGACAAGAAGGCTCAGAGCCAGTGACTGAGCCATAGCTGTGGCAGAGGGTGATTATGAGGCCAGAGCTCTGGGCAAGGTGGACAGCCAGCCGTAGGTTGGGGGGTCCTGCAGTGTGTGGGCTGGGACTGTTCTGCTGCCTATTTATGCAGGCACTTTCACCTCCCCCACCCCGCCTCTGACCAGGCAGGAATAAGGATCATCTTCTGTTTCCTTCCTAAAAGGCAGATAAATGTCTTGGCATGCAGCCTCACTAATATGTAAAAATGAAGACAGCCCCTTTCCTCAAAAGGGAAATATGAAAAAAATGCTCAAAATCACTAGTCTTTAGAGAAATGCAAAATAAAACCACAATGAGATATCACTTCACACCTGTCAGAATGGCTATCATCAAATAAAATCGAAAAATAAGTTGGCGAGGATGTAGAGAAAAGGGAACTCTCATGCACTGTTGGTGGGACTGCAAATTGGTTCAGCCACTATGGAAGACACTTTGGAGGTTCCTCAAAAAATTAAATATAGAACTATCTTATGACCTAGCAATTGCACTTCTGGGTATTTATCCAAAGAAAATCAAAACACTAATTTGTTATGATCTATGCACCCCTATGTTCATTGTAGCGCTATTCTCAATAGCCAAGATATGGAAGTAACCTAAGTGCCCATCAATAGACGATTGAATAAAGAAGTTATGGTTCGTATATACAATGGAATATTACTCAGCCATAAAAAAAATGAAATCTTGCCATTTGCAACAACATGGATAGACCTAAGAGAGTATTCTGCTGAGTGAAATAAGTCAGACAGAGAACGATAAATACCATATGATTTCGCTTATATGTGGACTCAAAGGAATAGAAGGAACAAACTAAACAAAAACAGACTCACGGATAACAAAGAATAAACTGGTGATTGCCAGAGAGGAGGAAGGTTGGGAGGCTGGGTGAAAAAAGTGAAGGGATGAAGAAGTACAAATTAGTAGTTACAAAACCATCCTAGGGATGGAGAGTACAGCAGAAGGAATACAGTCAGTAGTGTTATAATGGCGATATGTAGAGCCAGATGAGAGCTAGAGTAATCAGGGGGCTCACTTCATAAATTATATAAATGTCTAACCATTTTGGTACCATATACCCAAAACTAATATAAAATTAAAAGAAAGAAAGGAAACAGTCCCCAGGTCATGTGAGTCAGGTACCTCAGTCAGGCCGTCTTCATTCCCAGGCACCTTTTTGGTACGGGCCTCGCCACCCGTCCCCTGGACACACTGTGATTTCCTGCTCTCTGCACTTTGGGCTCCACTATCTCCCCCTCCTCCCAGCAAGCTGAGGACTGTTCTTAAAATGTAAATCTGATTGAATGGTAAGAGTTCTTTGTGCATTCTCGATAATAGACGCTCATCAGACATATGAATTGCATATGTTTCCTCACATTCTGTGGGGTGTCTTTTCACTCTCTTGGTACTGTTCTTTGATGCACAAAATTTTAAATTTTGATAAAGTCCAGTTTATCTATATTTTTTCCTATCCTTTTGTTGTCGTATTTAAGAAACCATTGCCAAATCCAAGGCTATGAAGATTTCCCCTACGTTTTCCCCCCAGCTTTACTGAAGTATAATTGATGAATAAAATTGTATATATTTAAAGTATACGACATGATGATTTTATATATGTATTGTTGCAAGAAAAGTGGCTACCGAAGTAACAGCCTCAAATGCATTTGTGTCTTTCCATTAATGCCACATTTATTGAGTGGAACCTTCTCAGATAAGCCAATCAGGTGCCCACGTAGATAAACACAACACAAAGAGAGGGGAAGTATAGAGCCTTGCGTGACAGAGAGAAGAGATGAAGTCCTTACCGTCTCCAAAGTGAGCTCTCTTTACTGGTGGCGCAGAGAGCTGTGCATCTGTCCAAATCCAGTGGCTATGAAGAGTCAGAAGGTTAGTTTTCTGCTCTTAGTGCCCCCCATCAGTGATGCTTTCGGGTTAGGCTTGAGCCTTGTCTGTCTAAGGTTCAGCTATATGGTAGCTTACTAGGTGGGATCCTTATGCTTATGGCTCCTGCAGATGGCGCTTATCCAGGACAGTCGTGGCTGACATTTCTGTGGTTTTGGGCTTTCTGGTTGGTTACACCCAAAGGGTATTCCCGTTATGAGCGCCTTGGTGCTCCTGGGTTCCCAGCTCAGCATTGAACCCTCCAGGGACAAGCCGCCCTGAGGACTGTGCAGCTGTTACTAAAGGAGCTACTGAGTTCCTAGAGTGCAGATGACCCACACCTTCCCAAGTGTGTGGTATCTGTATGCCTAGTGTAGTTGCAGACATTACTCCATGTGTAGCTACCTGGGGTTAGAGTTAGAGTTAGGACTATGCTTAGATTAGCATTGATGTAGTAGTTACAGTTGGATCCTGGTAAACACAGGGCCACGTGAAGATTTTTAGGATAACACCCACCAGCATTACCTTGACAGAGTGTGTCTGTCTGGTTTTCTCTTCCCTTAGATTCTGTCTGCTATGTCAGAGAGGCCTGGGGTCAGGACTCTGCAGTGAGGATACTCATGGGGATGGGGATGGGATGGATGTGTAGGTGAAGGATGGGCTGCTGAAGAGGACAGTGGACCTACTTGCTGACTATGACATTTCTTTAAAAGCATGCAGCCAAGTTGTTGAGACAAGGGGTATACCTGTGAATCCAAGACTATTCTTATTAAAGGATAAGCAATGGGATGGAAATGACAAACCGGAGTTTAGAGTAAGGATAACCAGGCCTGGCCTGAGATGGTCTAGCAGGCTTTATGGAAGAGAGTGGCTTTGAAAATGAATTTGGACTGTATATTTGTTTGTGGGACTACAAGATGGACTGTGTCTGTTTGCATGTGTGCAAGCCTATCTTTGTGTCTGCGTGTGTGCTTGTACCTGTGTATGCTTGAGTGTGTCTGACTCAGAGTGTTCAAGAGTCTATGTAGGTACTGGACATGTCTCTTGGTACTCTGAAGTAGTTTCTGAGTGGCGTTGTTGAACTCGTGTCTTTCTGTTTATATATTTGTGTGGTTGTTGTCTGTGTTTGTGTGTCTTTGACTGTGTGTGAGAGTCTGCCTAATCTCTCACTTTACCCTGCCTCTCTCGTTGATGCACCCCAGCTGCCAGCACTTTTTACCGCAAAGAATGGCTTCCCTTCCCTTCCCGCTGTCTGGATTCCCACAGGTCTGGCTGTCTGCCCAGGAACCTGCCCCTGTGGCCTCTGTAGAGGGCTTGACCTTGGGAGTGATACACTCTGGAAAGCCCCCAATATGATCCTTGCCTGGCCATGGACCCAGAGTAGTTACAGTGAGGACAAGGCGGGAAAGGGGGCCAGTTGGCAGCATCCACCCCTCCTTCTGGAAACAGAAATCTGCCTCTGTCCTCTTCCCAGGCCCCCTGTTTTATCCCCATGCTCTCATCCAGACCAAGTATTCAGGGTCCTGGCCTCACTGTCTCTGGGGATGAGAATGGATAGTCAGTTCTCTGTAAGCACAGCTAGACCTGCTAAGGATCTGGTCCTCTGTGTCCCCTAGTATCTTACATGTCTGCATTGTGCTCATTCCTCATATCCCTACCTGAACTCAGATTGTCCTCCCTTCTTTCCCGTCCCTGTAGTAGACACAAGAACTATTTTTGGCCTTTATTCTATGACAGCCTTGGGCTATGCAATAGGCTTCTGAGTCTAGGTGGAACTCTATACTTTGGATGGCTGGTAAAGAGCAGAGGCCCAACTCCCTCTCACCTGGTTTAGAAATCAGTGTCTCCATGGGCTTGATTCTTGTGCTCATCCTATGTTCCTTGTCCTCCCTGCATGGGCTGCAGTGAGCAGGTACAAAAATGAAACAGCCGTGGTCCCTATCCTCTGGGATTCAGTTTTAACTGGAGAAGTGATTTAGTAGAGAAGCTACTCCCCGACTGCAGTTAGTCAGTTGAATGGAATTGTGTAGTGCCCTCTGCAGGGATCAAGGGAAGGGCTCCAGAAAGTCAGAGTCATTCACCATGACATGATGATACTTCAGAGGGCCAGAGGTGAAGTCCAATGTTCCCAAGCAAGCACTGATATATTCTTAGCACCTACCAGCAATTCTGCAGTAGTAAATTCTTGAGTTTGTGTTCTCCACAAGGCTTTTAATTCTAATTTCACTTTTCTTGAATCAAGGGGTCGTTCCAAGGTTATGGGATGGGATGAGCAAGGCTTCATCACTCAACATCCTGCATGAAGTCACGGGCTCTGACTCTGTTTTCTCTCAGCCCTTGACTTTGCTGCGAATTGAGAAACCTGAAGGTCTTGATTCCAGCTTATCTGTCTGTCCCCAACCCTTTGTTACTGGACTTTTGTCAGTGCTATGAACTCATGCTGCTTTGGGGCAGGTAGGAGCCTGTGGGGAACCATGGGAAAGGCCTACTCCATATAAGTTAGGATGTGTGCACATTAACCTTGGCATCCCACCATACGCTGCAGTGACCTTTCTGGGTTGTTCCTTTCATTCTGGGCCTCCCCATCATCTCCTTTACTCTGTAGCTCTCTGCCCAACTCCCACCAGGTAGGGAGGATGTGCCTGTCACAAGACCTCCTATGATCTTTGGAGATGCTTTAGGAAAACACTTGGAGGGTGTTGGCTCAGCAGGCCTGGGCCTTGTGCCTCCTCACTCTAGAGGCCATGCTAGGGGCCGGGCTCCCATACCTCAGGCACAGTCTCCATTAAGAGGAGGGACACATTCTTGCTTCTTCCCATCCTGGCTTTTCTGCATCTTGTTAGCAGTGGATACATCATGTTAAGAGCTGGGGTCCTATGGAGGCAGAGAGTCTTGCCACCACCACCTCTTGGTCGGATGGGATGTTGAGTCATCCTGGATTTCCTTAGGAAACAATGAGGCAGGGGCAACCCAGAGACCCCCATACCACATCATAGGGAAGTGTCAGCACTTCCTGTGCTTCCTCCAGCTCTTGGCTCCTCTGTGGTAGGTCAGAAGGTGAGAATGCAGAGGTGGCACCTTAGAGAAGTGAGGGGTCCAAAACAGTGGCCCATTTCTTCCTCTCAGGGCAGCCTCCTGTCTTTCTGTTTTCCAGTTCTCTCCTACCA